TTATATCAGTCTGTAGGTGAGGAAGTACCTACATGATTTAATATTCCTCTCTCTCTCTCTCTCTCTCCCTTCCTCCCTCTCTTTTTCTGTCTGGAAATCAGGAGGAAAACACCTAATCTAATTTCCATCTTCATTTTCCTTACTCTCAAGAATAATATACTGGTAAACATCCCATTATTTGGTCTGCAGTGGCACAGACCAACTAATTGGTGGCATGAGCAGTTAGAGCAAAAGACAAATATGGGAGATTATGAAAGCAGCTGATAACGAATGCAGGCAGTTCAGCTTTCCTCCTCTGGATTGTATATGTGATTAGCTTGTTACTTCATAATTCTGCCATTTAAGTAGTCAGTTGGGGATCAGTCACAAAAATCCAAAATGACCACTGTCCAGAAAAGCATAAGCTTCACATGCTTCAAGGCTTGCTTTCAATGAATGTATGCTTATACAGATCAAAATATTTGGGATTGGAAGCTGCTCAAGTTTACCTGAACACTCATTCAAAATTAATTTTGAAATGGTGTCACATTTCACAGGTTTCATAATTTGTAGAAGGATTTAAAAAGGTTGATTTCTTATTTAGCAGTTTCTTCTTATGCCTCTATATTCTTCATTGCCACTAAGTACAATGGATATACTTCCCTGCAGGAAAGATGAAGATGATGGGCTGAGAGCTTTATCCCCATCCTTACCCCCATCTCTCATCTGATGCTATTTCCAACTCCAGGAGGTATGTGACCGTTTACTATTTCACCACCTTATTGTGTAACACATAGTTGTCATGGAGACTGTAGGATCGAGGCAACTGTTGCTCCCTGATCCCAACTCAAATGAGTTTTGTTTAAACCCATGAAACTCTTTTTGAGTAGAGCTTAAATGGCTAGGAGAGAAACTGAAGAGCAATGAATTTGGAATGGTTTATCATCGTTCCAAATTTATCTGCTCCAATTAGTAAGATGACAACCAGACACTAATTTGTTAATCCTCAGTATTTGATTTCACTAGTCAATAAGTTCACTTGCACTTGTTGACTTTCAGAAAACTAAATTTTTCCTTGTTACCAAAAACTTCATCCTTCCAACCCAATTCGTAAAGAGCAGTCTAGTTGAGCTATTTAGAAAACACCATTTGAAGGAACTGATTATAAGCCAAATCCAAATAGGCATACAAATAAACTTAGGTATAGGTGGGGTGTTTCTATGGAAATAAATATTAACGCGTACACACTGTAACTTTTGGAATGAGACAGCAGTGTTGTCTCATTGCATAAACTTGAGTTATGCATTCAAACAGTTGTTTACATTATATGCTATTATATTCTAAATAGCGAATAATGTACACTAAAAGTGGTTTCGTGCCTATATTTGCCATCAACTGTATAGTTATCAGATATATAACACGCTAGCTTTGTTCCAGGAACATCTCATTCGCAGCAATTAAGAGCAAAAAGCAAAAGAACTGGGAGCTGAAGCCAGCTCTAGATTAAAGTATGTGTCAAACCATTGGCTTTATACCAATCTTTATTTTGAATCTCTTCCATGTGAAAATGTACTCCATGAAATTGAGATTCCAACTTTTGCTTCTCATCTGACAGCAATCTGTGTTACACCTATAAGTAAATGGGTTATGTCTAATAAGAATGTCCTTTATAATGTGCAATGTGAGGTTATCTCTAAGCATTATTCACCAAACATACATACATACACCCCAAGGCATCTCTCTTTTTCTTTTTGGAAATATAGGGACAATGCAAACTGTCTTAATGGATTCCAGCAGTCCTGTTTTGATGATCTAGTTCTTGTTTTTATTATATGACTTCTTTATATCTTGGATGTGTAGCAGATTTCCAAAGCTTCTGGTTAATGCAAGAAAGTAGCAATGTTAAGTGAAAAGATTGTGCTAAATCACTACTAGGCAATCTGGGGTCCTTGGATTATTGCAATATAGAGTATTGCTTAAAATGTGATGCCTGGGCAACTTGTCCAGTAATTGATAATTCAAGACTATTTTGGAAAAGTTCTAATAACAATTTCCCCATAAGTCATCTCTGAAGGATAAAATCTATGCATAAATTCTAGAGTATTTACTTTGGCTGCACTATGTTATTTCATGGACTTGTCAAAGTATTTTTGAAAATTGATCCCAATAGTTGTTAAGAGACATATTACAATTATCTGACACACACACACACACACACACACACACACACACCCAATATCATAATGGTCTGACCATGACATCTGTTATGGGACATATTGCAATATGTAATATTTATTGATCTGGGCACTTTCTCTCCAGCCTTAAGGATATTTTTAAAATGTGGGTTATAGCTCTCAAATGCAATTATTAAATGAAAATGAAATTTTATCATTTTATTTGATATCTAGAAGCCATATCTTCAGAAAACTTACATTTAGCAGAAGAGCCTAGGTCCTTAATATTTCTCTAAGAAATATTAACAATAACAGACTCCTTTTATTTCATTCCTAATGAAACAACTATGCAAATTCTTAAACAAATCTATATAGTTCCTATAAGCATCTTAAAAACCAATGTTTTCTGTCACTAGGAATTTATTTCTCCCAGAAATGAACATACAAGTACATCAGTCCTTTGCTTGTTGATTTGTTCATCTAGTACTGTACAATAATTCTACAGTCAAAAGAAAATGATCATGGCCAAATTGAATTTATTTTAGCAACAGTCTTTTATACTTGTGATTGATACTATGCTCTTGTTCACTGGATATATTGTTAGTATATGTACCACCTCCTTTTCAGTTTTGATATTTAGCATCACAGAAGTTTGAGCATGGAATTATAGGTAATTTTTTTCAGTCTCTACAAAGATCATACGATTGATCCTAATATTTTCTTGTTGAAAGGAATATCAAGCTAATTGAAATGTAATGAATATGCACAGCTCTGATTTAAGGCGAACTAAGCTGAAGAAGATTTTTAGGTAGTTTTAGTGTAGTCTTTGTTAGGTCACAATGACAAAATTATTTTCTTTGCTGCTGTTGCCAGTTCTAGCACCATATTGGCAAGGGTTATAATCTTGAGACTCAGCCATCTTGTGGAAAGATGTGGATTTTTGGCATCACTCCATGGCTTCTGATGCTGGCTAGGATAGTTACAGAAGGAAGGAGATGGCTTCATTGTCTGTTGCTGAGATCCATTCGTGAGTAGGGAGGAAAATTAGGAATTAGCAAGGTAAAGTCTCACACAATGTAAGAACAGTAAATGAGATACACAATAAGGGAACTAATAGCAAATTTCTCTTTCTTTCTCTATTTCACCCTCATTGGTGGAAATAAATATGCTGTTTCTTGCTTTTGTTTTTTTATTACAGAAATTGGATTGTGGAATATACTGCCCCTAAGGTAAAGATAAAGGTAAAGGTTCCCCCGCACATGTGTGCTAATCGTTTCCGGCTCTAGGGGCGGTGCTCATCTCCATTTCTAAGCCGAAGAGCCAGTGCTGTCCAAGACGTCTCTGTGGTCATGTGGCCAGCATGACTAAACGCCGAAGGCGCATGGAGCACTGTTACCTACCCACCAAAGTGGTCCCTATTTTTCCACTTGCATTTTTTATGTGCTTTCGAACTGCTAGGTTGGCAGAAGCTGGGACAAGTAACGGGAGCTCACTCCGTTATGTGGCACTAGGGATTCGAACCATTGAACTGCCAACCTTCTGATCAACAAGCTCAGCATCTCAGTCACTGAGCCACCACATCCCTAAATTGCGCCTATGGGTGGCTAAAGACCATCCTTTGCTTGGAGGGATTTATGGAGAAGCTAGACAGCTATGGATTAAGTATGGTTGACCTGCACTGAATAGGAAATTGGAATTCTGCTCAGTTGGAGGAGATTTTTTAAATTAGGGCTTACATCACGGTGACAAGGCAGCAAAATTACAGTATTTCTTTGCTTTTATTGTGTCTGCCAGTAACCACTTGGCACTCCTGTTTAAGGTGACCTAGTCATAACTGAGAGGGAGGGATTACAGAACTTCCTGCTAGCCACTGGACGGAATATTCTTGCTATTTGGTAGATAAAGTTGCTTAGATTCAGTCAGACCCTGACTGAACAGGTCGAGATTAGGTGCCCAAGACACAGCCTTGTGAGGTAATTTGGAGCATAGTTTGACTATCTGACTCCTGAGGGACCGGACAAGATTCTCCAGTCTGTGGATTTGGCTACCTATTTGTAAAATACAGGTCCATCCAGGATGTTAAGATTACCAGGTCTGCAGTTGGTTCTGTCTGATGTTTCTTTTCTGTGGAAGGGAGTGAAGAAGAAAGCTGTAGTTTGCCCTCAGCTTTGAAGAAGATGAGAGTCTACTCTATCCTGTACTCAAGAAACTGTTGTTTGACCCAACAATCCTGGTTAATTTCCATTAAGTCTCCAACCTTCCATTTCAAGAGAGGGTGATGGAGAGGGCAGTGAAGCTTCAGCTTCAGAGGACCCTGGAAGAAACAGATTATCCAAATCTATTTCAGTCAGGTTTCAGACAGGGTCTGGTATAGAGATAGCAATAGTTGTGCTTGTTGATAACTGTGATGGAGCCAGGATAGAGATAGGGTGTCTGTCCTGCTGCTCCTTAACAGAACAGAACAACAGAGTTGGAAGGGACCTTGGAGGTTTTCTAGTCCGACTCCCTGCTCAGGCAGGAACCCCTATACCCATGATGGCGAACCTATGGCATGTGTGCCAGAGGTGGCACACAGAGCCCTCTCTGTGGGCATGCAGGCCGTCGCCAGCTGCTCTTCTGGTTTCTGGGACGCCAGCCAGCTGTTCTTCACGGGCGCCGCAGCACCAGAAATCGGCCTGAAAACGGCCTGAAAAACAGCCAAAAAACAGGGTGTTTTTTGAGCGTTTCCTGGCTGGTTTTCAGGCCGTTTTCAGGCTCTTTTTTGGGCCATTTTTGCCCATTTTGGGGGCAAAAATGGCCCGAAAAACAGCCCAGAAAATGGCTCAAAAAACGGCCAGAAACGGTCCAAAAAACAGCTGGAAAACGGTCAGAAAATGACTCAAAAAACAGCCAGAAATGGCCCAAAAAACAGCCAGAAAACAGCCAAAAAAATGGCCAAAACCAGGCCATTTTTGAGCCCTTTTCTGGGCTCTTTTTAGGCCAGTTTTCAGGCTGTTTTCAGACCATTTTGGGGCTCTTTTTGCCTGTTTTCAGGCCAAAAACAGCCAAAAAAATGGCCCAAAACTGCCCCCAAAACTGCCCAAAACACAGGCATGCGCGCGCCGGCTAGCTGGTCTTCAGGTTTGCGGTGCTGTGGCACACACAAAGACCAGCCTGCTAGTGCACATGCGTGTGCCGAAACCCAAAGACCAGGTGGCTAGCATGTGCATGTGCTCCAGCCAGCTGGTCTTCAGATTTCTGGCGCTCTGGCACACAGATTCCAATTTGGGCACTCGGTGCTGAAAAGGTTCACCATCACTGCCCTATACCATTTCAGGCAAATCTTTGATTGCTTAACGGCTTTCAGTACTGTCAGCCAACCTTGAATTGATTTTGGAGGTGGGAGTAGAGGCACTGTTGTGGGATGAGTTTCCTTTCTCCATTGTTGTTTTCAATTGGTGTAGATGGGGAGGTGGATGAGAGGTGTTGTTCCTGTCCATTTGAATTTCTATAAATTTTTAAAGCCCTGGTTCTTCCCAGGCCTTGGGTTAAGATGATGTCTGACTCTCTCTGGTTTGGGGCTCAGTCATTTGTATTTTTTTTCTTTTCTTTTTAATTTTTTTAATTCTAAGATGCCCCGAGTTGCTGTAGAGTCAGGCAGTTTACAATTAAAATAAAATTTATTTTTGTTATTGTTTTAATAAAATATTTCCCTTGAACTCTGCCTGGCATCAGGAAGGGCATCCATCCAGTAAATGCTCAGTTCCACCCAGTCGTCCTGACTTTACCGCAAATTAAAGGATTACAAGATCGTAAAAAAAGGCAGAGTATCATAATTTCAAAGACGGAACACTTAATTTTAAGTTTTGTCATTGTATAAACTTTATGAATATGGATTTTCAAATTTTCATATGAATAAGGAACTAGGAATTGGGAATAGGTAACTGACTTCAGCCTTATTAGAGGAGACAGATTTTGTCTGGTTGGGTTGGTAATAGCTAATTTGAGAGGGTGGTCATTTTTTGGAAGCTAAAAATGGAACTTTATTAAGTGTAAGTACCATACTTGCTTACAAACGTATAGCAAGATACATGTCTTTATACATGATCTAATTCCAAAAGCTATGGCCCATTGAGAGCAGAAAAAAAGTAAAAGATTCAGCCTTGTAAAAACTGTTAAGCTGCTTCTTACATGACAGTTTCCACTTTAATATTCCCACATATATCTGTCCTGAACAAATTAGTGCTTCTTGTCACCCATAACCTACCTTGACTTTTAAAGCATTAGAGTAGTGTGGCATTTAATAAACTTTATTTTTATTCCATTTCTATATTTAGCTCTCTTATCTCTCCTCCCTCTCCACCTCCCAGCCTTCCTTCCTCGCTGTTTACTGGTAGGAGCATTTTCTGTCTTTGCATCTTCTGTGTTGCCTGGCAACCAGGTGCACAATCTATGCTGATTGGCTGAGGCAGATTCACCAGGCTCTGGAAGCATTGCACCTCCCCTCCTCATATAGGGCCCCCTTATAATCTGCATAGAAGGGGGAGCGTGGGTGTGTGGGGGGAAGGGGGGAATTGTGAAAGACACTGTAACAGAACACTCAGCTAGGAGATACCGGAGCTTCTCAGAGCTGATGATTTGCTCAAGTAAGGCATCTCCTTGGAAGCAATCACTAGCTCTGTCAGGCAAACTGTTCAGATCTCCCTTTGTTTCTCTGTGATTGTGTAACGTCAGCCTATCCCAGGGCCTATCCCAGCCTATCTCTCCCATGCAGGATAAGCATTTATATCCCAACCGTCATTCTAACCCTAACCATCTGTAACAATTGTAGGTCTTTGCTGTTTGAAAATGACAAGAATAAGTTTCTTTCTAGTTTTAGGCTATCCTTCTATCCGTAGAGCCGTCAAAGCAACTATGAAATATCCTAAAACCAGTTTAAACGACAATTCATATTAACTCACCAGATTTGAAAACCTTACATGAAATATGCATTATTCCCATCTTTAACTTATCCCTCAGAAGCTGGTTTGTCAGCCAGATAAATTATCAATATATTAATAAGCAGAAAGAGAGAGAGAGATGTTTGAATTGGGGGAGTCAAATTCCTGACACGCGTGTACAAAGCTTGTGAGCTCATAAGTATAGGCTCCAATGTGCAAGGGTCACACTAGCCTAGCTGTGACAGTCCTACAAATTTGGATTCTAGTTTAGATGTTTAATTCCTTTCAAAAGTAGCCATCCTTTTCACCTCTTAATTTTTTTCATCACCCAGATACTCAATTGGTAATACATTTCTACCAGGTAATTTATCTGTCAGCTATGGATCAGGGAGAATGCTGTGTTCCTATTGCACCTAAAGCTGTTCGAGATAGGAACTGGACCCTATTCTATTTGTGGTGCTTTGCTATTAGTTAAGTGAGCTCCACTTAGGCCTCTAGTTAAGCCTGGAATAACACAGTCCTGAGGTTCACAGGCAGTGAGGGAGGATTTGCTATGTCTGTAATAGTGCTTCGTCCTGGAACTTCTACAGCCCAAGTCTTTTATCATATCTATTGGGAGTATTTCGTCTCACTTTTTTGCCTCCATCTAGCTCCACTTTCCCTAATCCCTTCTTCCCCCTATTGATGTATCCACAAGCAACAAAGGAAAAGTCAATAGGTGAAGGGGTTTTTTTGTAAGTATTTTTTTTCTTTACTATGGCAATTCTACCAGCCTTCCTTCCTTCCCCATTACTACAGGAGCTTTCAGAGCAGTTAACAGAGCAGATGGTACTCAACCAGTTCCTGCTGGTAGAACTAGTCAATATCCTATTTGTGTGCCCCCACAAAAAGCTACCAGAAAAAAAGCCACAGCCCTAAAGAAGACCCCAGTCAGTATTTTCTTTCCTTTTAGCTAGGGCAGAAAGCAGTGAGCCTCATCGTTCTAATGAAGAGACTCTTTCGCATTCATTGAATGAGCCAAGCAATTAGTTTCCCTGGAGATCAGAGTGACACCGAGAATAGTCATGGCGTATTGATACAGCAAATCTAGATCCCCCTCACAAAAAATGCAATCATGAAAACAAAAAAAATGGCAAGCATTACTAAAGCAATAAAGCAAATGCATTAGCCAGGCTGGGGAGCAAGGTCTCCTTTTCATTTCCATTTTTTCCACCATTACTAATCTTATTCTCAAACCAGATTTCTTCAGGATGATGAAAATGCTAGTTAAAACCAGAAACCTGGGAAAGGTATCTTGCAAAAATTCCCAG